GCGCATCACCTGAGGTCAGGAGTTCGAGACCAGCCTGGCAAACATGGTGAAACCCCGTCTCTACTAAAAATGCAAAAAGTAGCCGGGCTTAGTGGCACATGCCTGTAATCCCAGTCACTCAGGAGGCTGAGGCAGGAGAATCACTTGAACCCGGGAGGCGGAGGTTGGAGTGAGCCGAGATCATGCCATCGCACCTCCAGCCTGGGCAACAAGAGCGCAACTCCATCTCAAAACAGATAAACAAACAAAGAAAACAATAGTAGCTCTTACTTTTTTTTTTTTTTTTTTTTTGCCTGTAGTCCTAACTGCTTGGGAGGCTGAGGCAGGAGGATTGCTTGAGCCTAGAAGTTCGAGGTTGCAGTGAGCTATATCGTACCATTGTACTCCAGCCTAGGCTACAGAGTGAGACCCTGTCTCTACATAAATAAATTAAAAAAATAAAATGTAAAAAGGAGGAGGGCAGCGCACTGCACACACCGCCGCATCTCCCCCTCTCCCCTGTTTTTTCAAGTTTTTTTGATTGAGACTGAGTCTTGCTCTGTCGCCGAGCCGGAGCTGAAATGCGCCACGATCTGGCTCCGCAAACCTCCGCCTCCCTGGGTTCGAAGCAATCTCCTGCTCAGGCCTCCTGAGTAGCTCGGATTACAGGCGTTCTGGCCAACCACACCCAGCTAACTTTTATTAGTTAGTAGAGATGGGGTTAGCCGAGTGTGGCGCAGGCGAGTGAACGCCGTAAGCGCGCAGGTTGACCACCTGCCTTGGCTCCCAAAGTTGCTGGGATTACAGACCAGGACTCGAGCTGTTCCTGGCCTCCCGAGCTTTGATGGAAGCACTTTGGAGACATGAGAAGAGAGAGCGAGCGGAGCCGCGCTCTATGAGACGCGGCCTGCAGGCCAGAGTCCGAACCCCACCTGCCCTGCAATGGATCCCAAGGTAGAGTACAGGAACCTGGCTCAGGCCCCGCGCCACCAAAGATGAGCGCTCGAGGCACCGCTCTTCCTTTCAGTGGCAATGTGGAGGTCTGTTTCGCAGAACTTGCCCTGAGGGAGAAGCCCCACTTGCGAAGCAGTTGGAAAACATGGAGTTGTAGAAACAACAATAGGCGCAGGAGGAAGCGCAGAACAAACCAGAGAGGAAAGGCTGCCTGCCCCACTCTTGCTGGCTAGGCCCGGAGCACATACGTTGCAGGGAGGACACACCGCTCCATCCAGCTTCCTGCCCGGCTCCCCACTCAGCTACCGGGGGGCTCCCCAGCAAGGAAGCCTTTGCGGTCAGGCTGATGGAAGGGAGTGGCCGATAGAAATGTTCCGCAGCAGGCGGGTGCAGTAGCTCACGCCTGTAACCCAGCACTATGGGAGGCCTTCGTAGGCGGGGGATCATGAGGTAAGGAGATAGAGACTCTCTGGGCCAACATGGTGAAATCCGCATCTCTACTAAAAACACAAAAATAGCTGGTTATGGTGGGCGCACCTGTAATCCCAGCTACTCAGGAGCTGAGGCAAGAGAACACCTTGAACCAGAGAGTCGGAGATTGCAGTGAGCCAAATCATGCCACTGCACTCCAGCCTGGTGACAGAGATTCTGTCTCAAAAAAAGTGAGTGAAACCATTTTGGGTCCCAGCAGGAAGTTATTAGCCCTTTCCATTTCCACATTTCCTTATCATTGCTACTTTTATGTCTTACACATCTTTCTCATTCACAAAAAATTATGTATCCACCTTCCCAATTAGATGGTGAGCTCCTTAAATGTAGGGACCATTTCATATGCGGATGCCAGAGGAAGGGATTTTGATGAATTGGAAGTCTGATCTTCAGACCTCCAAATCAAAGTACCTTCAGTTGAATTAGAATGAAATTCTGTTCCTAACCTGTAAATCAGAGGCTCTTAAACGCTTATGACCTCAAACGGTAAAAAACACAATGTACATCCTATTATACTACACATATATATAATACACATGCCTAACTGAAAAATCTGCTGGTCAGGCCTAGTGGCTCACACCTGTAATCCCAGCATTTTGGGAGGCCGAGGCGGGTGGATCACCTGAGGTCAGGAGTTTGAGACCAGCCTGGCCAACATGATGAAACTCCGTCTCTACTAAAAATACAAAAATTAGCCGGGCGTGGTGGCGCGTGCCTATAATTCCAGCTACTGGCAGGAGAATCGCTTGAACCTGGGAGGCAGAGGTTGCAGTGAGCCAAGATTGTGCTACTGAACTCCAGCCTAGGTGATAGAGACACCGCCTCAAAAAAACAAAAAAATCTGCAATAAAACACCACCATTTAAGTTGCACTTTTTTTTTTTTTGAGGCAGAGTCTTGCTCTGGAGCCCAGGCTGGAGGGCAGTGGCGAGATCTCGGCTCACTGCAAGCTCTGCCTCCTGGGTTCAAGCAATTCTCCTGCCTCAGCCTCCTGAGTAGCTCGGATTACAGGTGTCTGCCACCACACCCAGCTAATTTTATATTTTTAGTAGAGATGGGGTTTTACCATGTTGGCCAGGCTGGTCTTGAACTCCTAACCTCAGGTGATCCACCTGCCTTGGCCTCCCAAAGTGCTGGGATTACAGACATGACTCACTGTTCCTGGCCTCCCGAGCTTTGATGGAAGTCACTTTGGAGAGACAGTAGAAGGAGGAGAACGGAGACTGGAGCCAGCCTCCCTATAGACGGGCCTGCAGGCAGAGTTCCCTACCCCACCTGCCCTGCATGGACTCCAGTAGATACAGGAACCTGGCTCAGGCCCCCCCACACACCAAAGAGTGAGCCCCAGGCCCCGCT